AATGACGAATTATGCTCGGTTAGTTGACGTCCTTCGAAAATTATAGGCAGCCCCGCAACTTTACGCGATCTGTTATATTCTTTCCCCTAATTTAAATGTCAAAGAAACTTGTTTGATTATTTGCTATGCAAATGGAATTGTTTAAGATGAGACTGACTTAAACCGATGCGGTAGGATCGAGGGGTTAACGGCAAGGAAGCTCGGATAATTCGGACGCGATAATTGGATCAAGAAGTCGCATCGAGGAGCGATCCTCTCTCTCTCTCTCTCTCTTTCTGTCCTAAGGGGGTATTTCACGGGGGACACCGACTCCGCTTTAATTATGCTTTCCGAATTTAGATCGCGTGCCTCTGATAACGGCGCGATCCGCAATATCTCCCGATATAACCCGCTATCTTATAATTATTTAACGTTTTGCTTATTTTGCCTCGCGCTCTTGTTTAATCCACGTGTAATTACCGTGTATAAAAAATATGGGGAGAATCTTATATTTTAACTTTTAAAAATATTAATTAAAAAATTAATAAATTTGTTGCTCTCTGGAATATACCTATACATCGATAAGTACAATTATGAGACTCTCTATCGATCGCTTACGTTCTCTTCCTCCCATTGTTGAAACTCCGTTTGTCGCGAAGAAGAACTTCTCGAGGGTAAGTAGGTACGGGCGACAGTCACCCTTTCGACCGCTTTCTCGACTACCGTCATTTCTCTCACTCGAGAGCACTCGGCGCAATCTGCTGCGCGGAATTTGCATACATAAGCTATTAAGCAGCTCTTTTCATTTCCTCCCGTTTATGACAGTTTAGTTAGAATAATGTTTTACAAGATTGCCGCGCGAACAACGTTTCTCATAATGACATCTTTTTACCTGATTAATCGCCCGACATCAACGTGTCATTCAACATTTTTACGTGAATGAAAATTAGGCGTGTTAACTACACGCTTACATTTTGTACAATCTTAAATTTCACGTCTGGCTCGCGAGGAATATATAAATCTTTGAGCTGACACGAGACAAGCAGTATCGTGGCAATACAAGATATACGAATTCGCGTTTAACTCTGATATTTACTGATATTTTCAATAATTCAGCGACGTAACACTGTATTTTATAATTTACGGTCCATTGCTTATGAATAACTGTTCCTCCCGTAGCGCATGTGTATCCCGACCCTAAGTAAGATTTATACCACCGTCGCTTGCGCCGCGTTACACGTGTCTTTCTTTTTTTTTTTTTCGCGAGATAAACGAAAAGCGATAACTTTATAACGCTCTATCTCTGATTTCACTTCAATTCTCATAAACACATTCGCAAAGGTTATCAACGTTTCGATCAGCGATCGCCCGAGTATTAAAAGCCGTCAGCGCAATCGATAAATGTTTTAAATAAATGCGTTATATCAATAACGATTAATTAAACGACTAATTGTAAAATCTGTAATAAAGATACAATGTGTGTGTATGTGTGTGTTATCGACCGGTATAAAAATCAGATATAAATATTAATCGCAATATATATATATATATATATAGAGGCCATTACGAATTAAAGAATCTTTCTCTCTTTTTATTGCAACATTTTTAATTACCGTGAAATGAGCGAAAATTTTTTTTCCCTCTACAAGACTACCACGTGCACATCGGCCGATTCTTTCCCTTTTATGAGCTGCGAGAAAACGCAGGGTGCTAATTAAACGAAACGTTTGGAATGCCTGCGAGCGCATTGGATCGGATAAAAGAGGGTTGTTTTCGCTCGAGCACCTTTCTAGTCTTTTATCGAAATCGTTCACCCAAAAGACGAGAGACAAAATAGCATACTTTTTGGCGAATAAATATAGATAAAAAATGCAATCTCTTTCTCTCTCTTCCCCTCTCTCTCTTTCTTTCTCTTTCTCTCTCTCTTTCTATTACAACCTGTTTGAACGGCATCCACGACGCATCTCGTTCTCGTGTTTTAAATACCTAAGTTAAACGGCGCGCGAGTTCTTTCTCCTCTTGTCGCACTATTCAAAAGCTCGAGAAAGCATTTCCATATATTTACAATTCTATAGTGCACTTTTATACTGTCAAGACCCGAGAATATCTGCTATCATACTGACTATAATTACAGGTTCTGCGTAGTTGCTTTATTGTCGAGTAGTAAAAAAAAATTATGTTTTTCCATCTGTTTCATATCGGGAGAAAGAATATCATAAAAGAGATTGTTATTCCTTTTTCCTATTTCACTTTTTAAGCTCTGTTTGAGTCAAGAAAGACAGACAATCTACAGTCTCGCGATGATTAGTTTGATACGGATGAGAATAATGACAGATACAAAAGTAGCAAATTCGTGACACAGATATATCCGGTGATAAAAAATCGCTGAGAAGAGATACAACAGTCGTCGTTGTTACGCAATACTCGAGCTGCTCGGGGAGTGCTTTCTAATTAAAACGGCGTAATATATGCATCGAGTTTTGTATCTTGTGGCAAAAGGCGCGGGAGACGCTATAAGGAGACGCGATGGCCGAGGGTTTGATTCAAGATGAGACGTCAAATGTTACCACTTCGAAGGGCGGAGGGAAAATTCTCGGTGTCAATTCTCAGAGCAATCTGCCGATGCAGATTAGGGATGCCGCCGGTCTTAGTTGATCCCGCATAAGATCCCGTCTCGCTTCCTCCCCCTCGCACGTCGGAATTAATTGGGGTGAATTGTCCTGCCGCGCCCATTAATGTCACGAGTTTAATCCAGAGGTAAGAATCTTCCAACGGGCTGAATGTCCGCAATCTTTATTTTCCTCGGTCGATCGTGTCGCGCGAAATAATTTCGCGATAAGTTCCTTTTTTATTCGAAGAATATCAAATGACGAAGGTACATTTCTCTTTCGCGTTACACGAATTTCTCTCAACCTCTTAAAAATAATAAGAAAACAACGCGGAATGTGTACGTGCGTATATTAAAAGCATTCTCGCGTGCGAAAACGCCGCTATAAACGCCACGCAAACGTGTATCTATGAAAATGAGGTGCAAACTCAAAGGTCAATATCTGTCGACTCTTCACCGCAACGTATCGCCTTCTCTATAACATCAAATTGGCCCGATGTCCCTATGGCCGTTTCACCTTCGCCCCGATCGTTTCGTCAATTTTTTCATTAGATATTCTGGAAAAAGGGAGTCTCGAGACATCGATAATGAGATCATTGTCTCGTCGTTGCGATGATGAACGATTTAATTTCTCGATAGCGCTCGATCTCGCGACGAATATACGTTTAATTATTATTAGCTGCAAGAATTGCGACTGCAAAATTCAGCGTCAGCGAACAACGGCTATTTGGCATGGGATTCGGGAGATGGGGAGGGGGAATCGAGGGGGTGGGAGGGCGCAAAAGAGAAGGAGCGTGGAGGTTTTTTGTGGGGTGCGAGAGCCGTTATGGTCAGGATTACTGCGGCAGAACTTGGGGTTCACTCCCTTTGACCGACACACTTAGAACAACAATAACTCACTAATCCACGCGGGCCTGCACTGCGAGCGCCGATGAAAAATGTAAAAATCCGGAAAACCACCGCTCCGTGACAGTTCAATACATTTTAAATGCGTTCCGGCGCATTTGCGGGATACGATAAGCGGGATCCGGGACCACGCGAGCGTCCCCCCTTCCCCCAATATGTCGGTTATTTATCGTCAGATTTATGGAATAAATGAGTAGGAGAGCCCACACTTGTCGCGCGGCAATCCTCAAATATAGCGCTCTCTCGTTTCTATTATTAAAGTTTCGCGCGATACGCGTTTGATGGAATCGCAAATTTCTAAGAAGCCGTTTGCGAATGTTTGCGCGACGAAATCGGAGGGCGAAACGTGTAAATTACATCACTCTGATGAAGAAAAACTAATATATAAATCACTCGGAAAAAAAAAAAACAATAATGCGCTCCGCGAAGAGGCGCGATGAATCGGACAAGAAAAAAATGCTCAAACGGGATAGATCGATGCGCCGAACGTTGATGAGAAAAGAAAAAAAGAAGGGAAGGGGAGAGGGTTGGCGGAATGCCTTTATACGCCGCATCTCTATGGGATTCTTTCACGACACGGCGATTTAAAACGCCTTTTAAGACGGTCGTAGGGCGTCGGTGGAATTGTGCCGAGGTGAATCGAGCATTGAACTCTATATATATCGCTCGCGTACCCTCCTGACGTTCCATAAGTTGCATTCCTATTTTCTGTCGTAATAAGGAAGCCGTGCCAATAAAACGCGATCGACCGTGTCGATTCGCGATGATTAAAACGAGCGATATGTAAAGTCAAACGTATCGATGTGACGGAGCGCAAGAAAAAGAAACGGGAAAAAAAAAGAAAGAAAGAAAGAAAGACTAGCGAAGAGTTCGAGCGTGCGACGAGTCCTCCTCCGATCTTAAAGATGCGAATGATCCTCGACCCGTCTTTCAGCTGTGCGATAAACGCCTCAAGTTTAAAGGCTCCACGCCAAAGGATCCACGTAAGGCGAGAACGAGACGCTCGGCAATCATACGGAAAACAAAAGCACACGGTCGGTCCCGGTGTTGCATTACAATGCAACGAGCGCTAGAGAGAGCGCGCATTTTGACAGCCCGAAACTGCTGCTTTGCAATTCGGCGCCGCGCGCTCGTATAGCTTTTACATAATCGCGTTTCGTCACATTCGAATAACATTTATTCAATAATTTGCCCGCCATGGGAAAGTGTCGTTATTATAGGGCGCATACGCGATAATAACACCGTATGTATTATGTATAACTGTGAAAGAATCGTGAGCGTCGATTACGCTTATATTTCGTGTTAACGTCTTGCGTTTTCGAACAACAGTTCCGTCACAAGAGCTTTGTGCACGCGCGAGAATCTTTGCGATTATCATCGGACCACTCATCGTCGATCACTTTGCCTTTTTTTTTTTTTTTTGCGGCATGGAAGGGATTCTTTCATGAAATAAACGTAGTAAAAGAGAAAAGCGGCATGCATTTTGAGTAAAGAATTGAGAGCGTACCTTTCGAAAGCGTAGTGCCTCTCCTCAAATCTGTAACACATAAACAAGCTTCATCACTATATACCGTAGGTATCGTAGAACGCGGAGAAGAGGTCATTGGTTCCGAACCCGTTGCATAAACTAGTTTCGACAAGCTCATCGGACGAGAAAGGGGGGGGGGGGAGGAAGAGGAGGAGGAGGAGGAGGAGGAGGGCGACGAAGGCAGGACCGCGAAGATCATTTCAGACGGTAGACGGGCAATTCTTTTTTTTGGCGCACACGTAGGTAGTTATACCTATAAGTAGACATAATCATCACCATTGTAGGAGAGATAGGCAGACGGGTAAGGCTAATTTCCAAGACCCCGTATTATATAGTCCCCCGAATCAACTTTTCCATAGTATAATAAGCTATTTTATATGACGTGCGCGCTCGCAATTATATTGAGATTAGATAGGACAACGGTCGCGCTTAGTTTACAAGAGAGTCGTGAAAATGTATCGTTCGAGAGTGGACAAGGTGAAGATTTGCCCTCTTTCGTTTTTGTCCCCGAGAAAATATTATATACGATAGAGAAAGACCGGACACACTTTTTGCGCGCGAAACGAAATTCCGGAATACGTACAACTCCGCCACACACACATTCGCAGAGCATATTCGCACAATACTATTTACTTCTAAACGGAGAGTTTCTTCCGACATTAAAGATCGGGGAGTTGGCTTTGCCAGCGTTTTTCCGATGCCGTTCGACGAAGCGACTACGCGGTCCGGAATGCGGAGCGCGGTGCGATAAAAAGCGAATCAAATATCTACCGTTGGACCGAACCATTCGACTAATGAAAATACCTATTGTTACTCCCCAGGTTTTGCGTCGAGAAATTTTTCGTCGCAGCAGCTTTTGGATGTCGCGCGGCATTTCGTCCCGTTCGTCTCGTTACGCGAAAAAGTAGTGTCGCGGAACAATTAATTTTGATGACACGATCATATCACAAATAGCTTTATAAGAAACGATAAATATATATATATATAATAAAAAATTAAATATGTAACTATAAATCGCTCAGCGTCAACAAACGATAAAAATTCTGAGAGTAGCATCGAAATTGGCGCGTGTAAAGTTCCGACAGTCGGAAATCTGTTTCCTCGCTTCGACAGCATTCAGTCGGATGCCGTTTGACATGGATAGAGCTTCGATTAAGTGAATTGGACAGTGACGGGCGAAGGGAGAGACGGGATGTGACGACGAAAAACAATCGAAATCGAGCAAACGTGAGCGTTCGTTCGAAATCCGCGTCGCGTCGCGGCGTCGCAAGTTCCTGATTCGCATTTAAGTTAGCCTCACGTCCGCACGCCGGTGCACGTGATCCAGCTGCTCGAGAGGAATCCCACGTATCCGTGACGTCGCTCCATCTCCACGACCGCGAGCAACCCGCATGCGAATACGCGAGTACCTCCGTCTGTCTAGCCGCTGCTGACTTATTAGGGATTCCGCGCGGGCCGCGCGCAGAAATTTCGACGTTGCGGCACAGGCGCCACGTGTACGTCGCCGGACGCACGTTCTTCTAATTTGCGATACGTCTTCGGACTGCTTAAAACTCGACCAACCTGTTTCTGTTCCCGATCCGCCGCTCGGTCGATCGTACCCCCGTCGAACCGGAAGAATACCGAGTGAGAGGGACCGTTCCGGATTACGCGCGTGCATTTTTATACCTACGTTCCTATAATTATAATGTCGCGTCTGTCATTTCACGACCGCGTAGATAAAAATATACGCACTTTTCCCGCGCGTCGAATGATACGTATGTATATATCGCGCGTATGTGTAAGTTTTTCTAGAAGAAAAAAGAGAGAGAATCTGACCATTAAATCAGAATAGTTTTCAGCAACTTTCCAACGTACGACGTGATAATTCACCATGATACATATCATATCCGCGTGATCCTTTCTTTGTATCGGCCGATAGGGAGAAAAGGATTTGCGAGAAAGAGCAGGCATCCTGTGGCTATACTTATGACTCCCGGGTGTATCTCTCCTCTAAATCTTGCTTCTCTGTGCGCCATATTCGCGTAAGAAATACCGCGCGTGTATTCACATTTTCAAAATAAATAATTAGAATCTACCAAATCTGACTTTTCACTCTGACAGGTTTTTTTACGCGCGACACGCGAGAGATATATACTCAAAATTCATATCATCGATAAAATCGAATACTTAATTAATGGAAACGAGCGTGAAAGTCAACGCACTTGCTTCAAGATTTATGCCCTTTTGTAAGTAAAATTAGCACGCACAAGCGTAGAAAATATAAATAGCGCGGAATAACTTTCTCTCTCACATCGGACATCGAGATAATAGTTCCTTGACGGAGGCGGTGGCGAAACAATAGCGGCAAATTCCGGCATTAACGCCACATCGAGTGGCAGCAGAAGACGTAGAAACGCGCATTGTCGACGCGGTTTCGTAAGGCGGGAAAAAAATCGTGCGACAATGCGTCCTCTCTAGAGAGAGAATCTGACCATTAAATCAGAATAGTTTTCAGCAACTTTCCAACGTACGACGTGATAATTCACCATGATACATATCATATCCGCGTGATCCTTTCTTTGTATCGGCCGATAGGGAGAAAAGGATTTGCGAGAAAGAGCAGGCATCCTGTGGCTATACTTATGACTCCCGGGTGTATCTCTCCTCTAAATCTTGCTTCTCTGTGCGCCATATTCGCGTAAGAAATACCGCGCGTGTATTCACATTTTCAAAATAAATAATTAGAATCTACCAAATCTGACTTTTCACTCTGACAGGTTTTTTTACGCGCGACACGCGAGAGATATATACTCAAAATTCATATCATCGATAAAATCGAATACTTAATTAATGGAAACGAGCGTGAAAGTCAACGCACTTGCTTCAAGATTTATGCCCTTTTGTAAGTAAAATTAGCACGCACAAGCGTAGAAAATATAAATAGCGCGGAATAACTTTCTCTCTCACATCGGACATCGAGATAATAGTTCCTTGACGGAGGCGGTGGCGAAACAATAGCGGCAAATTCCGGCATTAACGCCACATCGAGTGGCAGCAGAAGACGTAGAAACGCGCATTGTCGACGCGGTTTCGTAAGGCGGGAAAAAAATCGTGCGACAATGCGTCCTCTCTCTCTCTCTCTCTCTCTTTCTCTCTTTCTCTCGGAAAAGAAGACTCGAGAAAGAAAAGTTTTTCCCCTCCCTGCGCGCCAGCGGACGAAGAGGAAAATACGGCTCGTTGTTTCGCTCTTTCCTCCTTTGAATTTTATTTATCGGTCGGCGTGAATATTCAACTCCCTCCATAGAGTGGACAAAACTCCGTTCCGTTCCGGCCGCGGTTTGTCCGTAGAGAAGAGAGACACTTACAGAGGGCGTAGAGAGTGTCACTTACAGAAACGCGAGAGCGATATTGTTGGACGCCGTCGTCGACGCGAGTACAATACGCCGAGAACGCGGCGGAATGCATTAATATTAATGGTGGTACAGAAGGAGTCTCTCTCCTCTCTGGCAACGCGACAGGCTCGACCGCTCATCGAACTCTTCCCGAAAGACGAAATCGCAAACGCGGCCGCAAAATTTCATCCGTCACTCTACAGATTTACGAGATTTAAGGGAAAATAGCGTATAATTGTATAAATTAATAAAAGGCGAATAACAAAATTCAAGACAGAATTCTATGTATAGTTTTATATGCCGCATATTTTTTAATGTACATGTATGTATTTTAATACATATTTATGTATATATTTTTTATACTCTTGAAATATATATTTTCTGTATTGCACGATATTAACACGTAAAAAATTGTAAATGGGATTCCCTAATTTTCATTAAAATTAATAATATATTAAAGTATTGTACAGGAATTATTTTCGCATTCGACAAACAAACGAATATAATATCGAGTGCAGAGGAATTATCTTTACTCTCGCGGAAATTTCGCACTCATCGGATGCAATGCTACACGGTGGCTCGAGAGGATGTATCTCGACTGAGAAATTGTCGCCTGGAGCATCAGTTATATCAGTGACGATGCACCTCGTAACGCCTACCATCCTTTATCATCGCGCTTTCACGGCGATGATTCGCCCTTTTATTATCCTACACCTTGTACGTACGCGAGGAAGAAACTACGTTCCATCATATTCATATTTTTGACTCATCTTTCGTAAAAGAAAAAAAAAAAAAAAAGAATAGCAAGAGAGAAAGAGAGCTCGCGTAGATACTCGCGCGAAGTTGAGCTGAAAAAATTTTTATGCTAAAATTCTGGCATTTATCTCGAAAGCGGCATCTCTATAACCCGGTTAAAGACTTTGATGGCCTTGCAGTTTAACTTCCAAGGTATATCATGAGATGGAGAGCAAGATAAGAAATGGCAGATTCTTCACGCGACATAGGTGGGTGGTGTGTGAGTCACGGTTATACATATTAAATACAGGATCGTCGGCTAACAAAACCGCGGTGTTGATTACATCTCGTCGACATTTATCTCGATGATACAGCTTTATTTTTCTTCGCTCTCTAGTCTTGAGACGGTACATACAATTTTCTTTTTCTCTTTCTTTTTTTTGCGAATATATCGGAAACGATCCGCTCTCTCCTCGTTTAACGAACTCGATTGTTTCGCGTTAAGAAACCGCGGGGATAAACAAAAGCGGACCGTGAAAACGCGTAGGACTACTCGAGAAGACTGCGCGGAGAGCTCGGGGGAAAAATAACGCAGGTCGTGGAATAGCTTACGAAGGAGAGCCGATCCGAAGGCGGATGGGAGAAGGTCTCGAGGTTTCGTTGGTCGGTTGACCTCGCCGGGTAATAAGAATAAATGTGATTCTATTACGGGTTCAATTGTTACGGCGGCAGATAGGCCGCTCTCTCGATAGAGGACGGAGGGTAGATCGTAGTCGATAAGATTTAGCCGGGAAGGTTTTTACCTACAAAATCGCTCCGCCACTTCGGACATTCGGGGTGTCGGGTATTAACGAACGTTACGAGCGCTTGTAACATCGTCAAAATGTAATCACCCGATAATAATAATATTATCCAAAGGAATATTACGTGCTCGACAAAAAGCTTCTTCGCTGTATTCGTAATCTTTATATTATGGGAGGCATATCAGCTTTAATGATCGCTAAATCAATTTGACATACATATTGAATAACGTAATTATAAAAAAATGCAAACACACGGAATGACGCGTAATGTCTTAAATATTCAGCCCAGCCGCACATTTATATTTTCGTTTTTGAGATATCATTAAAAAAATATATATACGGAATATAAAAAATTTATACGAATTTATAAAACGCGAATCGGGGACTAAGAATGTACTCACCGTGCGTTGACGGAGGTAGGATTTCCGACGTCGTCCATGGACGGTTTCCTAGAATGAAACCACGAATGAAATTCGTTACTATTCATCCGCAGCTGCATAAACGCGGGATGGTTATACGTGGCGCATAGGTTGGTCGATTGCCACATTTTGCGCACACTAATTGATCTTTGAGACTTTTTCGAATCTAACGAGACGCGTGTAAAACTCTCGAATTTTTACGTCACGGAAAGTAAACTCAATCTTTCTTTCTACTATAAATCATCTCTGCATTTTCGTGATATACATATGAATATTCTTAAATTTTTATATACGTCGATCGCTTTCGTCCACATTCGTATATTATCAAGGTTTATAAATAGATGAGATCCTCGTTCAAACACGTGTCACAAGTTACAAAGTTCACTAGGAATTCTTTGCACGGCGATGCTCAACGATCCGTGCAATCGTGATTATAATGCGTAACTAAAAAGAGTCCTATGCTCGCCACGCAATTTGCAAAACAACTCCGGAATGAAGACGGACACAGCGAAAGTGGCGAAGAAACGCCCGCGCGGCGGTCGGTCTTGAGAACGTGTGCGTAAATGTCATCGGCGCGTGTTGGCCTCGTGCTCGCTTCGAGGGTTCCACCCCCGTCAAACCCGAAACATCATCCCCCACCAGCCGGTGATCTTCGCTGCGCGTGCCTTTCTCGCCAACGTAACGCTACGAGTTTCGCGGGGAGGCAAATATGTGGATTAACAGCCTTTTTTCTTATTTATCGAGAAGAGTACTCTCTCGTGAGAGAGCGAAATTACTTGCGGGAAGGAAAATAATAAAGTCGATAGAGCAAAAGCAGCGCGAGCAGAAATCGTATTTTCAATGATTTGTGTTCAGTTATTTTAGATTCTTTAAAGATATTTGACATTGAATAAATATAGTGGCATAATAATCGTGTGTGTGATATAATTGGAAAGATAATTCTTCATAAAAAAATAAATCGAAAATGTAGAACAAAATGTTTTAGGCAGCTTTATTTTCGAGAAAATTGATATTGGAAATTAAATTAATAAAATTAAATTCGTTTTGACAGAGAGTACCAACGATACATAAATTAAAAAAGTACACAACATAATCAACGTTTAATCAAACAATTTATAATAACTTAAGTGTTGCTAAAAAAGTTATTGTATATATAAAGTATCAAGATTTTTTCCAATGAAATATTGTATCTTTTTATATATATTATTTTGAATTAAGAGGAATCGGTAAAAGATTCGCTTACAATTCGAATTTGATTTACGAAAGAATATATAAAAAAAATCATTTTACTCGACAAATAAATTTAACCAATCATATGGTGTCGTTATAATTGTTGAATGCAACAGAGCAAACCTCGATTTGCAGCGGTATTTCTTCACGAAGAATCACCCCGGAGGTGTATCTGGTCTGCTCTATATAAATGAGATCTCTAGAGTAAATATATTTATACGTACAAAACGCACCCGATCTATAGGGTAGTTGAGACTTTACATCGCCAGACTGAAGCGGAACGCTCTGTCTTCATTTGACCGATTGTGAGATCTGGGGAACCCCGCGACGCCAATAAAACGCCGTATCTCCGCGGTAGCTTGTGTATCTATTTTCACGCCGCAACCTTATCCCTCAGTCGACCCTAGCTAACGTTGCGTCGAACAGTAGAGGGGATCATCGATTAAAGCCTAATGGGATTATACCCTTACGACGCTTTCTCCATTTTGCGCGAATAGAAACAAACGTACGAGAGATTTCAATCTTAAAAGTTTAAATTTAAAGAGATATATCACATTTTTCATTCCGAATTTTGCTTCAAAATTGTAATCATGATAGAACCATATTAAATATTTTACAATATATTAATATGAGCATAGATGATATCATTAGCATTATTAATGTTACATTAGTTGGGCGAGTGATTATATTTTGCGACGAAAGGAGCGGAAATGAGGAAGGCGATTTTTGCCGCATCGGAGGTCAAGAGCGATCAAGGTTCAGGCAGCGGAAAAGATACGCTTCCGAGTTTTGCTTATCGATTCAAATCGCGTTCCCCGCGTATGAATGAACGAACGAGTGAGCGAGTCGAGCCACCGGTTGAATGAGAGCCTCACGGATGACCACAAAGTACACGCGTACGTAACGACGAACGTTCGTATTGTCAGAGAGGCTCCGTCCTCTTCCCGCACATTGGCCATTCTTTTTCCATTTTTTTTTTCTATCGTTCATCTATCACGGATCTATTCGAGTCTCGCGGCATAATGGATGGTTTTTATTCAAATTATAATAGATATTTTAATATGCAGGATGTTCCTAAGCATGTGCGAAAAAATTCGGAAGATAATTACCTGAAGAAAAGTTCATATACATCATTGTCCAAACGGCATAGTTTTCGAATTATATATACAAGATGTTTCTTCAAGTTTAAAAAAAAATGAGATTTCAAAAAATATATTTTGACAGAAACAAAATTAAATAAAATTATAGAAACTGAATCCCTTGGATTTTTTCTTTGGAGTCACCTTAAATCCTTAATTTTTATGATTAAAAATATTGAAAATTTAAGGAATCGCACACAGTTGTATCATGCAAAATAATCCGTAATACATCTGGTATTTTTGAACATATTCGCTAATCATTAAGAGAAAAAATAAATTCATGTATCATGACTGGAGGTGATCATTTTCAACAATTCCTATAATTTTGTCTAATTTTATTTTCGTCAAAATATATCTTTTGAAATCTCAATTTTTTTACCTTGAACACCGAAGAATCACCCCCCGAAATTTTTCGCACATGTTTAGAAACGCCCTGTGTCTCTCATTACAATCGTCATCACGATCGTGTATCGTTAAAATCGCTGCAATTTCCTCGCATCTCTCTCTCTCTTATCACGAATTATCACGAGCGTACGAATTAACTACACTGCTACTGGTGATGTAATTCGATGTGTCGGACGCGTAGCTAGGTATGCGGCGCGACTAAAGCGGAGAGTTTTGTACCGTTGGCGCTAAAAATGCGTGGCGAATCGACGGGAAGGATCGTCCTGACTAGGCAACTTCCAAGCAGATCCGTTTTCTACGATCTTAATAGGTATCGGATCCGCTCAAAGCATTCCGCATCTTAACGCGGTATACGCTAGATGTGTATACCCTGTCGTTCGCGCCCGATCCCGTGTAAATCCACCGTGTTTTGTCACGCGTTTGGTTTAGCCGCGACATTAGAATCACGGACCATCGCTCACTATCGTTAGTTTTTAGGGTTTGCTCTCGCGCCGCTGATTCCAAAGTTCGCGCGCGCTATTAAACGATGTCTCGGATTTTTGTCGGGCTATCTGCCGCATTGTGCGCAATTATACACGCTTTTTGTCGGCTGAATCGGTGTAAAATGCGGTTTTCCGAAAATGGTAGTGGAACGAAGACTGGTCTCTCTACGAGGCGGTACGCGAGATGGTATCGTTTAATTTGGCATAAAACATCAATCTCATCTATTCCGAGCGCCTGTCTCGTTCACTACTTCATCTTTCTTCCCGCGTAACAGACTTCCTCCTCGTACCTCGTTAAAGTTCGGAACGTTCTTGAAGCGGGAATTTAAAATTTGCTAGTACTCCGAAATATCTCCATATATATATACACGTATATATACGGTTAAAAATATTTGGCGATCGTTCCTATCTTTTACATGTATTTTATACCAAAAGATACAATCATCATTATTTTACATACTTGGGTACTACATACTTTAAAACCTCTCACAATAGAAAAAAAAAAAAATTTACCAAGAGTTAGAGGATTTTATTTAATCTGTAATGATGGCGCATGCTTCAATGTATGCTTAAAAATTCCTTGTCATTTTCGTATTCCACACAAAAATATTTTGTAAAAAATTTCCTCTCACACAAGTTTGCATTTTTTTTTAAATTACATATGTGTAAAACAATATATAAAAGAATTAATATGTAAAAAAAAAAAATCAATTATTACGCGCAATTTTCAACATAATATTCAAATATTTTACATATAAAAAATATTTAATATAAAAAAAATTGTATTATACATATTTTCTAAAAATGTCACAAAATAAAATTTGAAATATTTTACATGCGTTTCATTACGAAATCATTTAAAATTGATTACTAACGCGGAGGTAAATGAGTTATTATAATTTGATGAGTAACAAATAATAAATAATTTATAAACTGTGTGTGCGCTCACCTTGCAGTTGCATCGTCGTTGTCAAATGCCTCTCCTCTTTTAAAGAAGAGCCTCTTCAGCTTTCTATGCTTTTTCATGGCACTCGCAAAAACCCGATTAATTATGATCAGAATATGACTATCGCGCGACACTTTGTACGGCACTTCCAACATTAATCACGCACGACTCGCACTTTATTATATTGTGACAAGAGCGAAAACAAATTATTAAATTGTATACACTATCATCTTAGTCGAGCAATTTTATTATTATCATCACCAGGGCAATATTATTATGTTGCGAATAAATATACAAGTTAAAAAGAAAGATTTAATATTCGCGGACAGCAGAGTATAGTTAGATTTACACAACGCAAATTTGGATCGAATAAATCTCGCGAAATACACCTTTTCACAAGTTACGATAAATGGTAAATAGTGTGCTGTTAAGTATATATTAATATATGGGATCAAAAAATAACAATCACAGTTAAACACATCGCGACGTTGAAATCGACTCGAAATCGATTCGTATTATATCTACAACATTTTGTTAGTGAAAAAGCAAGAAACCGTCAAAACAATATCGACTTCGTTTCACTACTACGTGATACTTCGCGAATCGAATGAATAGCTAATTAAAACGTCATACACCGACGGAAAAGGCACAATGGAATTTAAATATTGCAAGCATTTATCGTGCATTAATCTCGTGAAGTAGACAGTTCAATATTTCCATTATTTAGATAAAATAGTCATCGTCATGATACTCTTACGTGTCGTTTATCGCAAGAGTAATCAATTGTGCGAGCTGATAATTGCTAATTTTAATATTCAGAAACAATTA